ATGCAAGGCTGACCTCATGTCCCATCTCTGGGAAGCCTTCCCACTCCTAGTCTAGGTTGTGCTTGCCTCCTGCGTATATCTGTCACATTACTATCCTATAATTGCTTACTCTGCTACCTTTATAACTATAGTGCAAATCCCTTGAGGGCAAGGCCTATTATCTCATAACCATTTGTGTCCCAAGAACCTCACTTTGCCAAACCTATAACCTATTTTTTGAAGAATGAATTCAAACCATGCTAGGTGATGTGTCTGTTCTTCACACAGATACTATTTTAGAGGCCTATGTCCATCATAAGGAAGATGAGGATATCTATTGAGCAGCTACCATGTACCTGGAGCCTTGCCAGATATTTCACACACTTTATTTCATTTAATCCTAATAAGCCTGAAAAGCATGATCCTCAATTTATGGCTGGGAAAACATATTACAGTCAGCTATCGAAAGAGACAAGATTTAAACCCATTCATTCTGTGTGTTTATTTATACACTATTCCAAAATGAGAATTTCTAAAGAAATGATATAAAACTTTGAAGAAAAAAAAAAAGGAAACCAGAACAAAGGAGAAGTAAGAATTTAAAAAATCAGATAAAGCCAGAAGGTAAACACTGAACAGTGCATACTATCAATATCCTATACATTTGCTACAAGTGGACTGCAAATTTGGCTGAACTTCCAAGCTGTTAATATGTGATTTTTTTACATTATTCAGAGACATTATCTTTTAAAGGTTAGGGCAAACCAGTTGCTTAGAAGCACATTTACTCCTGAACTGAAACCTGAAATTTCTCCTATGGGTTCTCAAAGAAACTGTTATATGTTAGAGTGAACCAGCGTCATCCCTGGCATGGATGTTCAGTTTCCCTATACAGTCCAAAACTAAGTGTGGTAAAGGAACTTGATGTGTAACCAAAGGTACCCCAGACACAAAGGCCTCCATTTAGAGGGCTTAGTTTCTAGAGAATTGGAATGATTACTCAATATATGGCTTCTTCCATAAACATTTCTTAAAAGTGAGATTTTAAATGCTGGACAATAGACTTAAAGGCTTTCTCTGACAGGTACCTGGGGCATGGATATTATTGCTGATCAAGAGCAGGTGCATAGAATCACTGGTGCTGGGGAGAGAAAGAACATCGCTTCTGAAAGTGGACCAGTCTAATGAGGATATTGTTTCAGGGAGAGGCCTTTCCATCACTTCACAAGAGTGATCTTAAGAGTACCTACTGTTAGAGACAAGATTTTCTTAAAAACAAGTTTGGATCTGTTTCAACACATGAACAAACATATAAATCATGCCACCTCCTTACAGCATGAATGCTAGAATTTTAGCTTGAAAAATTCTAAAAACATAACAAAAAGCCTGCCAACTTTATCTGGCTCCAAAGTCCTATGCACTCTGTATGCTTCTAGTGTGTGCCGATGCAAATGCCCCATATCAGACTTTCATTTAATCACTGCATTTAGAAAAACTGGCAATCTTAAGGACAGAGACTTGGAAGAGACCTGAATGAATGTTGATTACTATCTTCAGATTCTAGACATTAAAGTCTCAGTTTCATTTACTTATTTATATGAAAGTCAAACACTGGCTTTCCTAACAACCTAGGCCAACAAAGGAACATATGCAAAAAGTAGAAGGAAAAAAAAAAAGATAAAAATTGGAACTGCATCAACTAGGTATAATTAAAGTAGCTAAACCAGATTTCCCGCGCAAGCACATTTAAAAAGAACTTTTAGAAGGTTTTAATATAGGCTAGGTATATAAAAATCAACCCCATTAACACTTTTGCTAGCAGCAAATATGTATCATATGGCCCCATTTTTAAACGGCTTAGTAACATATAGTTGTCAGATCACTACCTTGTACACCTGAAACTAATGTAACATTGTGTCAACTTTATACTTCAATACAAAGATTTTAATAATATTTTTAAATGTTTAAATAAAATGGCATAGTACTTTCAGGATCTATCAGTGAGTGAGGTCAGTAGGCAGAACCCACACCAGGTATTTGAATGAGGAAATTTTAATAAAATAATTGTTAACTAGTAGTAGTAATGGTTAATTAATTAAAGGCACAAAAGAGGCCTGAGTACAGAAGTAGCAGTTGCAGGAAAAAAAGGAGCTACTACCTCTAGGCTGAGAGGAAGTGAAAAAAATTAAGTAACTATAGACCAAGAGAGGCTCTCTTCCCCACCCCAGCCCCCACCCCCCAAGCTGAGCGCCAAGCTTCTCTGGAGTGGGTGTGGTTTCCACAGGAACTTTCAGACTGCCAGTATTGTAGAAATTTGTCAGAGTTCATGGACCACAGAGTGGGAGACAGCTGCTGAGTTGTCCCGGAAGTAGATCCCAGGAGCTGTTCCAAAGGGACAGCAAGGTTGGGAGAGTCTAACCCCGCGCACAGCTGGAACTCTCCTGCTGGGCTCCTGAGCTCCAACAGTAAATTAAAACAGAGAACCAGGACCCAGAAGTGAAGTGTCTTCTTGATGCTCTTGCTTTTTTGCAGGGCCACTTCAGGGCCCTCTATCAATGAAGACTAACATTCTGCTAAGCTCACGGAAGAGAGAAATTTATAAGGTCCAGGCTCCAGCATCACAAAGTAGGACAGAAAATGTTGGATTTGGAGCTGGGAGATGGTTAAGCTGATAACTGCCATGGTTCACCCCTATGGCTGCTTAGCTTCTATATACACCTACACTATGTAATACAGTAGCTACTAGCAACATGGGGCTACTGAGTATCTGAAACGTGAGTAGCCTGAATTGAGGTGTGCTAAGTGTAAAATATATACTGGAGCTCAAAGACTAGGTATAAAATGTAAAATATCTCATTAAATTTTATATAATTTATGTTGAAATACTTTGGCTCTGAATTATTTATTCAGTTAAACGTTAATTTCACCAATTTTTACTTTTTAATGAAGTTACTAGAAAATTTTAAATTACTTATGTGGCTTACATCTTGGAGATAATCCTCCCTTGAGTGGCAGGAGAAATTTGGCTGCTTTGGACAGAAAAAGTTTTTAATATCCAACAAGCTCCATTTTGGTGAAATGGTTTTTCCCACTGCACCCCCTCCTCCTCAGGGTTACATACTTTAATTCTGCTTCATGTCTGGATACCACAAGCACTGCTAACCCGGCTCCCCAGCCCTCCTCACCCACAATTCAGAGAAGCAGCTGATTTTAACCATAAACATTTGTTTCATCACCTCCCTCTCCTTCAACGTCAATTTTTCCAACATAAATATACTTACGGTATAAAATGAATACTGAACACATATTGCTACATAGAACATTCTCAACAAAAGCAACTGCAGAAGAATTCATACAATAAAGGATGCAACATGGCAGAGCATCAGACTGCAGATTAGGGGGAAAAAAATCTAGCTTCTATTCCGGGCTCTGACCTCCTTGGGTTAGGCCATGTAAGTATCTGGCCCGCTATTTCTATAACTTGGAGAAAGGGCTCAATTATTCCAGTTTTATCCACACTACACCATGAAATTGTTTTGAGACTGCAAAGGTGTTGTTTTTTTTAATGAATAGGATAGAATAAAAAAATCAGAATATTCCACATGTATTAAAGACATTTTCTAAAACATTTGTTTCAGGTATATATTTCATATGCTGGTTTGCAGTGTAACGTATTTCTGAGTGTCATAGTTACAGTTTGAAAGCCACCAATGTAGATTATCTGTTAAAATCCTATATAGCTTAAATTCTTAGATTCATTTTGCTCAAAATTTATTTCAAGACCAGTAAATCACAAAGCATAAAATCACAACTTAATATAGAGATTTTTATCAAAGCTAAAATTTATTTGGTGCATACTCTGTGCTTGCTATCAGGTACTGTCACATATACGTTTTCTTTTAGTCTTGTAAAAGCAACCATGTGAGGTATTTTACAGGTTAAAATAACAAAAACCTACTTCCTTAACTTCTTCAGGTGAAAAGAGGGTTATAAGCATTCCAAAACAAAAACAAAAACAAACAAAAACCAGCCAAGTACACAGTCTATTTCCATTTCCTTTTATACATCCTCTCTCTATATATATCACACATTTTAGCATTAGGAGAATAAGGAACCAACTCAAATAAAGGGAATCTTTCTTGTAATTTTTGTCTATAGGTACTTTTTAACCCATCAACTTTCTACTCTAAGCACAAGGACTTAAATGTTGTCAATATCTGAAATAATTTTAAGATGATCTAGTATTATGAAAATTTTGTTCACACAGAAATACAAGCCTAAAAATGGCACTATATTTCAGATGTAATTTCTTTCTTTCTCTTTCTTTCTTTCTTTCTTTCTTTCTTTCTTTCTTTCTTTCTTTCAAGTAAGCTGTACACCCAGTGGGGCTTGAGCTCACAACCCTGAGATCAAGAGTTGTGTGCTCTACCGACTGAGCCAGCCAGGCACCCATCAGATGCAATTTCTCAATAGATAAAGGGAATGGTAGCAGTTCAATTGATGGACATAATTTAGGTAAAATATCTTCAAGAAAACAGAAAAACTATACGAAAAGATTTCTAAAACTGTAGCACCATTACCTCAATGAATGAGCACATTTCAAGATGTAAAAATTACCTAAGAATTATATATTATATTCTTTCAAATAATCTATTTTTATATTTAGAAGTTCAAATTATATGTTGTTATATTCAACTTTCCTTCTAATTAGGAGTTCAACACTGACATCAAGTTATTTTACAAATAAAAAGCAATTTCCTAATAAACAGTTACTACAAAATTGTTACTAAGGAAAATTCTTCAACATTAATTTTATTCCATATGTAAACTTTCCTCAAGAGAAATATTAATATTGTGTTACAAATAAGACCAGTAATCTGGTCAGAGTGTGAACGTATTTGACAAAAACATTTGATCTTCCTAGTGCCTTTCATTTCTTGGATAAATTTCTTCAACATTCCTGTGAATCTTTTTTATAAAACCATGCAGTAACAAAGTACACCTCATACAGAAACCAGATGTAAAGCTGACCTTTTATTTTTTAAAGTACCCCCTTACTGAATACTGCCAGCAATATTATCAACAAATAACATTTTATAATCAAGAACTGTACATTCAATGTATATATTTTGTGTGTGTGTGTGTGTGTGTGTGTGTGTGTGTGTGTATTTCAATGAATAAGCTTGGTATCAGCACACTAAACTTCATGTGATTTACTTTAAATGATTGCTGGTTTCAGAGAATTAAAAACCACAAACCCTATGGCAGCAACTATAATGCATATATAGTTCTCTGAAAGATCATTTTGAAGTTATCACATAATGGTGGAATATAATTTAAACAAAATACAAATAACATTTACAGCATAAGGCTCTGTGGTTGAATAATCAGCACATCAAAGAAAAATATCAGAGAAAGACTTTAAAAATAAAGCAGATTTCCTATTAGAAGAATTTTTTTTTTGTTTGCTAACAATAGCTAATTGTGGACATAAAAATGTTCAAACAAAAGTTTCCTAAAATTTCTAGAACACAATTAAACTTTAGTTGCAGTAATTGATGAGGTCAGACTTTATCATGGTAAACTGAAAGTTAATCTGTTGGTAGCGAGAAGATACAACCGCTCATTTTTAGAGAAGTAAAGTTTATTACATTTGAAACGATACAGCAGAAATCTCAAAAGTTTACTCATTAAATATAGTTTCTTACAAATATCCTTTTGAAAATGCAATTCATATGTGCTACAACCTCAGAAGTTTGAATTCAAAATGAAATATGAAGGCAAGAGTCAGGGAAATCACATCAGAGGGCTTTGTCAAATATCTGTACAAATCAGTACATATTCTTCTATCTGTCATACAGTAGGAAAGAAAGTGATTCTAAATATATCCAAGTAAATGCAGAAAAATACATTAGTATTTGAGGCAGACCATGCTAAAATATAATTTACAATGATTAGTTTGCATTTAAGATGGTTAATAATGCCTTTAGTTTGAACCAATGAAATCAACATTAAGTTAAATTTTGTAGTATTTGTTCAGTCTTTTGTGTTGAACATTAGTTCATCTGTGAAGTAAATAAGATTGGAAAAAGCAAGTGACCTGATCCTTTTCATTATGTTTATCATTATCTCCTTCAGTCATACTAAATGCAAACAAATCAATAGAGCATCAGGATTTTTCACACATTAAAGACTAATGACTTGTGAAAGCAGACTGTGTACCATGTAGTATTTAACATATGAAACTTGCATTAACCATCAACTCAAAATTTCTTAAATAACCCAAGATTTACAAGCTAAAATAAACAAACATTTGATTAAAAAATTCTGCTATTCAAGATACTCAGGTGTCTTTTTTCTCTTAGAGATTGGTAAGGGTTGGGTCTTTTAAAAACTTGGAAGAGGAGGTGGTAAGAGGAAAAAATTCCTCAATGCTTTAAAAAACTCAACTGTTACGAGTCCATACAATTACTATGCTGGCATGGAAACAAGGTGTTTTCTGTCATGGAACCATTCACTTTCCCATAGAAGTAGTTCCTCCAAGCCAACTATACAAAGATGTAAATTCGCTTACCCATGATTAAAATTGAAGTAATCCTTCAAAAACAGAGCAAGACACCTCACCCAAAAAGATCTTTTAAATCATTGCTAGCTGAACTGCTATTGGTCATTGTAGTTGGTGGCTGTGCAAAGTTCTGCGGGCTAAAGAAAGGATTAGCCTGCATACCAAAGGCAGACTGTCCCATCATGTTCATTGGTGTTCCCATTACTGAACTGCCCATACCTGGAGACGCTTGAGGAGGTACAAATTGATTAAGCCACTGATTTGGTTTCTGTTGTGATAACTGGTTCATGCTAACTTTGGGTTTCTGAGGGCCAAAGAGATTATTAAGAGCAGACATATCTGTGGGTCTTTGTTGAGTCTGCTTCGCACCAGCAGGAGGAACAGCACTGAAGTTTGGCAAAGTGGAAGGTGTTCCCAGTGTCATCTTGGTCACTCCGGGTGTGCTTGGACTACTGAATAAGTTCTGGTTTGTATTAACCGGCATGTTGAATCCTGAAGTCTGAAAGCCCATGTTAGCATTTAGGCCGTTGGTCAAATTTCTCTTGGTGTTATCAACTGGTGTAGAAAACATCATGCCAAGGCCCATAGAAGGAACAGAAGTGAAGGTACTTGAAGCAGAAATTTTAGGGGTACTAACAGAAAGGCTGGTCAAAGATGACATGTTATCCATCAATGTGTCTGTCAAGTCCTTAGTCTGAAAAATATGAGGGAATTACTTTACCTCCAAGATTGCCAAATTCTTTACAATCAGTAACTTTGACAGGTTGTACTATAAATGACAACTCCAAATTAAGCTCAACAGTCTATACCAAGTTGGCAAACCACAGCTCACAGGCGAAATCCAGCCTGCCACATACTTTTACAGATGAACATTTGCAATCAATTTGATGACAGGGAACACTAACTTTGAATTCCAATTAAATAAAATGCTGGCTCCGCCCACCGCTCCCCAAAATAGAAATTCCTTCTTCTCATTAGATCTGCATTGCAAAAATGATACTCTATTTAATTTTTATATTTTGAATTGCATCACAATTTTGTAGAAATTTGTTTTCTCTCTTACGTAAATACCTACAAAATATTTTTGATTTTGCCTCTTGGCCCATAAAGATTTTTCTCTGAAGAAGAATTTTAGTGATTAGGAGGTAACGAAAAAGGGGTGCCTGGGTGGCTCAGTCATCTGGGCGTCCAACTTTGGCTCTGGTCATGACCCCACCATTCATGAGTTCAAGCCCCACATGAGGCTCTGTGCTGACAGGTCAGGGCCTGGAGCCTGCTTTGGATTCTCTATCTCCCTCTCTCTGTGCCCCTCCCTCATTCGTACTCTGTCTCTCTCAAAAGTAAACATAAAAATTTTTTTTCACAAAAAAAGAGGTAACAAAAAATAATTTAAAGAAAGCTTTTAAGATAAAGTTATTTCTGCAGTCTGTATGAGTTTGAACTCTCTACCAGCAAGAACCTTAAGCCCTGCCATAGCACTACCACCTAGGACAGTGTCTGGTACATAATAAGAAATAAATACTGGTCAGGACATATTGGTAAGTATTCCTAAATCAAATTACAGACCTGGCTATAACTGAAACACCAAAAATTAAAAATTACTTTTTGGTCAAAAATATATAAATGCCTGAACATAATATTACTGATCATTTCAAGGTGAACAGAGTTAATCAGTACTATGAAACCTAATATTTTTTAAGAATATTACTGCCTTCTCTTTATTGGTATTTATCTAGCTTTCTGTTTGTTTGGTAACAAACACTATCTCAAAATATTATACATTAGGGCAGGCTATTGAGGAGTGGCTGGAAAATCCTTTATGCCCATAGTTCTTAGAAACTGCATTATTGAAATTTCTTAGAAATATATTTTTAGACAAACACTAATAGGTAGACTAAGTTATATACTCCTTAAGTATCGGACACTTGAAATTATACACAAGTATAACCTGAAAGTAAGTATGCTTGAAATTCTGCAAGAGAAATCAATTCTGACCTGTTTGACTGGAGCAACAGGTGTGTGTACTTGGGGTTTAAGAGGCTGCTGGCTTTTCAACTTCTGTGCTTGCTCCTGTTCTTTTGCTAATTTTTGTTTTTCTTCAAGTGTAAGTGATGCCTCAGAAAAAAAACAAAGTATATATATATATATATATATCAATGAGCAATTTCATAATTCCACTTATAAAACAGAAGACTTCTTTTTTTGTAAGGTATGTCTTAGTATGTTTGACAATAGCAAATAATTTGCAAATTACTCCTGTAGTGATTGCCACAGGTACATTATATTTTGAATTATTATAAGCTTTTACTTTAGGTAGAAACTCACAAAATCTCTGCTAAAATAGTTCCAGTATGAAAACAGTTATTGTTTGGGGCGCCTGGGTGGCGCAGTCGGTTAAGCGTCCGACTTCAGCCAGGTCACGATCTCGCGGTCCGTGAGTTTGAGCCCCGCCGTCAGGCTCTGGGCTGATGGCTCAGAGCCTGGAGCCTGTTTCCGATTCTGTGTCTCCCTCTCTCTCTGCCCCTCCCCCGTTCATGCTCTCTCTCTCTCTGTCCCAAAAATAAATAAACATTGAAAAAAAAAATTTTAAAACATTCATCAAAATGACTTTTTTCCAGACAAGGAGAATATGACTTGATGACTTCATCTTATAAAATTGGGAGATTCCTGTTCAACCCTATCTCACTCCAAAAATATTTTAGGAACTCACCAAAAAGCTAAGGAAAACATAAACAGTGTCTTTCACTGCTAAAGGTCTGCATCAAATTTGACATTTGTCTTTTTCCTTTATCAACTTTGCTAAACTATAAACTCACAGTATGTTCTCTTAAAATTTTGTAAACCATGCCTGGTAGCTCCTTGGCTTTACACATATAGGTACTCGTTTTTGTCAAATGAATAGAAGAAAAGTTGCCCCCAGGAGAAATTCAAAATTAACATATTATATTGAATATTAACAAATATTTCAATTGGAAAGTATCATTTTATAATTTATTATTCAAAATCAGAAGCAGAGTCAAGACACAGTAACATTTATCAAGAGGTAGGACTGGCAAAGTCCAGCAGAAAGGACAAAGGAGGCAGGCAATCTAGAAGTTACCATGTGGGAGGCTGAGTAATAAAAGAAGTTAAAATTCTCAAGTCTGTATATTCTCAATGTGAATCAGGTCATGTTCCCATGATAATTTTTAAATTTCATAAAAATATTAAAAAATGTTTCTTGTTAAGATGCTGAACAGTATTTCCCAACAAAATCTGTAATTTATAGGAAGTCCTATAATATAAATAAGTACACTACAGGAGTAAGTGAAGAAACTTACTCTTTTATGTTTATTCTGTAACCCATCCTCTTTATTTTCTGATTCACCGCCAGTAAGAAAGTCTGCTCCAATGTTGTTAAAGACTTTGTCAATATGCTGAAAAGAAAAATGTCAAACCACCTGAATGACATCAAAAAATTGTGATATTACTGCTTAAAGGGCAAAAGCCTCTCAAATGAAGCACACTGTCAAACTCTTTTTATAAAAATTAAAATAATCTAAATGTCTTACCTGAGATCCAACATTTGTAACTTTCATCTCCTCAGAAGCATTCATTTGATTTCCTATATCCAAAGATCTGCAGGAAAATTGAATGATGACAAAGCAATGAAAAGAAATGCTTATTTTTAAAATACTCATACAAAAAATGGTTCTTCCACATGGGGGTTATTGTAACCTAAACAAACTTCTTTCAGGACAGTCATACTCTTTTTCATTATTTGCTACAATTAATGTCTGCTTGCTCAAAAACAGTAACATTTGCATAACAAGTCTTTTTTTTTTTTTTAATTCAATATTCAAAATTTACTGGAGAATTTACTCAGTCTCATAAAATCAGGCAAGCATGATTCTTACTGTCAGAGAGCTTATAGATCACTGAGACAAGGTATGATATGTAGGACTTGATGTGATTAAATTCAGAACCTGATTCTAATAATAAGCGCTACAATCACTGTGATGGGCCAGATCCATGCCTTGAAAACCAGGCAAGATTTAGATGAGAAAAAGAAAAAAGAAGAGTTCGTTTACACCTCAAGTACAAATACTAGATATTAAAATTTTCTCTTATAAGTTTTTAAAAATTATTTTTCAGGGTTCCTGTGTTAATACAGTCAACCCACGAAATGACATAAATATCTACGTCATTGAATATTTAGAGAATAGAATATTTAGAGCGTACAAAGGGCTATTTCAAGTCATCCTACACCTGGTGTATTTGCTTCCTTAAGCCTTCATCTCACTCTGGGGCAGAACCTAAAAAAATTTATACGTGGGGACCTTGCTCATAATTGGTATAAATTTTAGTGAGTATCTCATGTCTTTTGGCTCAGGATTCAACAGCCATCTTAAAATCACATGTTTTTTTCTGGGAAACAAATATAGTGATTTTATTTTAATAAACCGGCATTCTCCAGTGAGTAATTTTATCTTTCCCTTCTTTCTTTGAAAACTAGTATTTTGCAAATAATTTGGAAAATCCTCCCTTAAAGAAACGTGCATGTTGTGGTATTAAATATGAAATGAACGCTGTATAAATGTTTCTGGAATCAGAGAAAAGAAAAAGGGTGAGATCAAAATACTAGGGTTTCATAGATTTGAAAAATATTTGTAAGCGGTGCTCTTCATCATTAGCACTCTGAATTTACAACACTAGTAGCTAATGCTGACAAGAGACTTTCTCAGCAATAGAATTTTCTTTACATATAGAAAATCTTACGATTATCATATTACACTTTTACACTCAGAAATGACATTGGATTTTCCACAATATTCTATTTTAACTCAGTTCAACTTAACATGCTGGAAAATTTTTAAATGTTTTACATGTGATCAAATTGAAATCCATCAATTTTTTACAATGCAGAACAAACTGATGGTTACCTGAGGGGAGATGAATGGGGGGATGTGTAGAATAGGTGAAGGGGATTAATAATGAGCACTGAGTAATAATGTATAGAATTTTTGAATGACTATACTGTACACCTGAAACTAATATAACACTGTATGTTAACTATACTGGAATCAAAATAATAAACTTCATTTAAAAAAACAGGAATCCATCAATTTTTTGGGTCCTTATTCCAGAAAATCAATCATGAGGTCACTTTAGTGTCACTGTTGGGCCATGTACAATTCATATGCAACCTACTTACTTCTGCTGTTCTTGCATTATTTGAAGTTGTTCCAGTTTAGTCTTATGTTCAGACTCCAATCTGTTAAGCATCTCTTTTATGACGGAAATGAAAGAATTGAACTGGTGTAATAAGAAAGTGATACAGTTACAATGTTTCAAGTTAGCAGCAAATGTAATGTAATAAGAGAATTTAACAAGTTAATCATAATACTCTCATTTTTACCAGTATACGACCCACTCAGAGTACGGATGTCACAAAAATAGTATATTTAAACTCAGCAATCACAGCAAGCTTTTACAATATCTCTGTATGATGGTGGTAAGGTTGATGAGGCTTTCTAACTTCCAGAAAACATATCTCAATGGGTTTTCTAGCCTGAGTTGTCTAACAGCTATTATTCAAGGGTCTTATAAATTTACCCCCACCAGTTATTACATATTGACTTTCCTAGAATAATCCAGAAGTGACCATCTGAATTTGTGCATATCTGGAAACAACCCACTTAATAGTGCATTAAAAAATTAGTTTATTGGAGGATCCTGGGAAGATGGCAGCATAGGAGGATGCTGGGCTCACCGCGCGTCCTGCTGATCACTTATTCCACCTACACCTGCATAAATAACCCAGAAAACCGCCAGAAGATTAGCAGAATGGAGTCTCCAGAGCCAAGTGCAGACGAGAGGCCCACGGAAGAGGGCAGGAAGGGAGGAGAGGCGGTGCACGCTCCACGGACTGGCGGGAGGGAACAAGGACGGAGGGGCGGCCCGCCAGCCAAGCAGAGCCCCAAGTCTGGCTTGCAAAAGCGGAGGGGCCGGACAGAGTGTGTTCCGACAGCAAGCGGGACTTGACATCTGGAAGGCTATAAGCTAACAGCTCTGCTCAGAGAATGGGAGGGCTGGAGGACAACAATGGGAGGGAGAGTTGTTGAGCCCCGGAAGACAGAGCTCAGCTTGGCGGGGAACAAAGGCGCTCGCCAGCACTATCTCCCTCGCCCGTCCCCCAGCCAAAATCCCAAAGGGAACCAGTTGCTGCCAAGGAACTTGCTGGCACCGCGCAAACACCCAAAGCTGTGCTTCTGAGGATCCATCCCTCCGGCGGGTCTGACTCCCTCCCGGTGCCGCAGGGCCCCTCCCGAAGTGGATCTCCGAAGGAAAAGCGAGCTGAGCCTGCCCCTCCCGCCCCTGTGCACCTTGCCGATCCACGCCAGCTAATACGCCAGATCCCCAGCACCACAAGCCTGGCAGTGTGCAAGTAGCCCAGACACGCCACACCACCCCACAGTGAATCCCGCCCCTAGGAGAGGGGAAGAGAAGGCACACACAAGTCTGACTGTGGCCCCAGAGGTGGGCTGGGGACAGACATCAGGTCTGACTGCAGCCCCGCCCACCAACACAAGTTATTCAAGACAGCACAAGGGAAGTGCCCCGCAGTCCCACACCACTCCAGGGACTATCCAAAATGACGAAATGGAAGAATTCCCCTCAGAAAAACATCCAGGAAATAACAACAGCTAATGAACTGATCAAAAATGATTTAAACAACAGAAAGTGAATTTAGAATAATAGTCATAAAATTAATCGCTGGGCTTGAAAACAGTATAGCTGACAGCAGAGAATCTCTTCCTACAGAGATGAAGGGACTAAGGAACAGCCAGGAGGAGCTAAAAAATGCTGCAATGAACTGCAAAATAAAATGGAGACAACTACGGTTCGGATTGAAGACACAGAGGAGAGAATAGGTGAACTAGAAGATAAAATTATGGAAAAAGAGGAAGCTGAGAAAAAGAGAGGTAAAAAAATCCAGGAGTATGAGGGGAAAATTAGAGAACTAAGTGATACACTAAAAAGAAATAATATACGCATAATTGGTATCCCAGAGGAGGAAGAGAGAGGGAAAGGTGCTGAAGGTGTATTTGAAGAAATAATAGCTGAGAACTTCCCGGATCTGGGGAAGGAAAAAGGCATTGAAATCCAAGAGGCACAGAGAACTCCCTTCAGACGTAACTTGAATCGATCTTCTGCAAGACATATCACAGTGAAACTGGCAAAATACAAGGATAAAGAGAAAATTCTGAAAAGAGCTAGAGATAAACATGCTCTAACATATAAAGGGAGACCTATAAGACTCGTGACAGATCTCTCTTTTGAAACTTGGCAGGCCAGAAAGAATTGGCACGAGATCTTCAGTGTGCTAAACAGATAAATATGCAGCCAAGAATCCTTTATCCAGCAAGTCTGTCATTTAGAATAGAAGGAGAGATAAAGGTCTTCCCAAACAAACAAACACTGAAGGAATTCGTCACCACTAAACCAGCCCTACAAGAGACCCTAAGGGGGATCCTGTGAGACAAAGTACCAGAGACATCACTACAAGCATGAAACCTACGGACATCACAATGACTCTGAACCCGTATCTTTCTACAATAACACTGAATGTAAATGGACTAAATGCGCTAACCAAAAGACACAGGGTATCAGAATGGATAAAAAAACAAGACCCATCTATTTGCTGTCTTCAAGAGACTCATTTTAGACCTGAGGACACCTTCAGATTGAGAGTGAGGGGATGGAGAACTATTTATCATGCCACTGAAGTCAAAAGAAAGCTGGAATAGCCATACTTATATTAGAAAAACTAGACTTTAAATTAAAGGCTGTAACAAGAGATGAAGAAGGGCATTCTATAATAATCACAGGGTCTATCCCATCAGGAAGAGCTAACAATTATAAATGTCTATGTGCCGAATACAGGAGCCCCCAAATATATAAAACAATTACTCACAAACATAAGCAACCTTATTGATAAGAATGTGGTAATTGCAGGAGACTTTAACACTCCACTTACAGAAATGGATAGATCATCTAGACACACGGTCAATAAAGAAACAAGGGCCCTGAATGCTACATTGGATCAGATGGACTTGACAGATATATTTAGAACTCTGCATCCCAAAGCAATAGAATATACTTTCTTCTCGAGTGTACATGGAACATTCTCCAAGATAGATCACATACTGGGTCACAAAACAGCCCTTCATAAGTATACAAGAATTGAAATCATACCATGCATACTTTCAGACCACAATGCTATGAAGCTTGAAATCCACCACAGGAAAAAGTCTGGAAAACCTCCAAAAGCATGGAGGTTAAAGAACACCCTACTAAAGAATGAATGGGTCAACCAGGCAATTAAGAGAAGAAATTTAAAAATATATGGAAACAAACGAAAATGAAAATACAACAATCCAAATGCTTTGGGATGCAGCGAAGGCAGTCCTGAGAGGAAAATACATTGCAATCCAGGCCTATCTCAAGAAACAAGAAAAATCCCA